AAAGGGCAGATAACACTATCAATCGGATAAATCGTTATCCAGCGGATGTATGCTTTTGTTATATGGCTGTGTCTCACAAGGACTGGGAACTACCGAATTCACGAATTTGATTGGCTGAAATCAATATTGATAGCGGTCCAGATTTTCCCATCTAGACCGGCATCCAGACCGGTCTAGAAAAAAAAAGGTACAAAGAATATAAAATATTGGCATATAAGAGACAGCCATATAATGAACATCTTATTAACCGAGCTAGGTCGGTCTGTATGGGAGAATCTTGACCTCGGTCACTGGTACAGACCTCACTGCGTTCGGTCTGTACTGTTTTCTCGTCTGCCGCTAGCAGCTAAGCGTCAACGTGCTTTGTTGCACCCGAGACCCCACGAAACGACTTTAGCAATGCCTAGTCTTAAAAGCTCGCACTGATCGCAGGGTTGAAATACAGTAAACGAAAAACACGGGTAATTAAACCGCTGATAAATCCTAGTTGTCTGAGATCTGGCTGTAAACTAAGTTCCATAGCTTTGTTACTTGCGCAACACGTTTTATTTTTATTTGTTCAATTATTACCAGTTATCAGCTCGTTACGTTTAAGTTTTATTATTCACGCCGTGATTGCTAGGAATCAACTTTTGTTATATAACCTTTAAAAATCGTTATAATCTGCCACTACTACATTTTTTATTTGTAAAGCTACGTTATCCGTCAAGCCACGCCATCTTAAGTTCTGAAAGCTATTTCAAAACGTTCCTATTAATTGCTACCCGCAGGAGGATTAAAGTAAGTCTGATCACATGTCTCCAGTTGCAATCGTTTTGTTTTATTTATAAGGTCGTGTTCCTTGTCAGTATTCTTGAGTTATGTCTTAGCGTTAGCTTTACATAAGCCTTTCCTTTTCTTTTCTATCGTTTTACTTTAGTTCGAACCACGCTTGCATCTACAACTTCAATTTTGTCATCCGTTCCCAATAGTTTTGATTCGCCGCCTTTTCTCATAAATACTCTGATTATTCAACCCTTCAACGAGTGTTCAATTGCTCGAGCTCCTGAGGTCAAATTCTCTCATCGCTGTCTAAACGTGACTTTGCCCTGAAATGTCACAAGCTTGACTGCTAACAACCTGATATCAGTTTGCATATTCTCCACACAGTTTCTTATACATTTGCTAAGGTGCTGACAAGGAGAATTTGTTTAAAAATCAAGAGCTTCTTTGGTGGGTGATCATTTCCTTTATTTTCGTGACCTTAATGAGTGATTCAGGGGTGATATTTGTAAGGAGAAATTAGATGCTGGTCACTCTTATATTTAGGAGTCAAAAAGTTAAAGAACACTGTGACGGTAGTCTTGCAAATTTGCACTCGAGACAATGGAAAACCGAAACTCAACGAGCTTGGAAATTAAAACTCTGTAGACCAACACTCAGTGAATCTTAAGCGCAATATCTGACCCCGTACATAACTGTTGGACAATTAAAAGCCAATAGTGACCTATTTAACTAAATAAGTCATATAAGTTGACAAGCACTCATCAAATTAAAAGGCAACTTTGAAAACGCTTTGCCAAAGCAAAAAAACAATCAGATCTTCACTCTTGTTTTTCGCATACATCATACACAATCTGAAATTAAAATCAAAATCTAATTTTTTTTCCTTTCGAGTTAGGCAAATTGTTAAAAGAAAGAGCACACACACACACCCGCATGGATGCATAGAAACCAAAAGTCTGATAACTATAGAGCGTCACCTCAACTAGTTTGGAAAAGTTCGCTCTAGAATTAACTAACAGACTGTTCCATTCCGGCATTATTTACCATTCAAGGTTAATACATCAAGATAGAGAAACTCGTCTTTTACTGATTCGTAAGTAGAAGAAGTCATGGAAATATTTTTTTGAAACGCAAAGACCACTGCTTGAGTTAATTCTGATTGATTTCATTTGCAAAGATCTGACTAATTTTCTGCCTGGAGTTATTAAATCCACTCAGGGGAAATACGATCTTCGCGTCTTTCTTCGGTAGCTTTAGGAGAAGAATCACCTCAAAGCCAGAGATGTTGAGGTTCATCGTTGATTTTCCAGGTTTCAAGGGTCGGGTCCCATCCTTATCAGTAATCATCACTGTATACTTGGTGTCGTTTTCGAAAGTGCACCATTTCTGTTCTTCTCTGGTTTCGGATTTGTCACGATCAACCTGGGAATCAGCCTAGCAGAACACAAAATAAACTGTTACCTTTTCTACGTGGACCAAAAGAGCCGATTTGCTGCCGGAATGGTACGTTCCGTATACAGCCACAAGCCCTTTACATCAGTAATATGTTCAGCCTCTTCCGGGCTATGAATCAGCGGACAATAGCTAC